CTCAAAAAGCATGACTATGTAATGCTCAAAAAGAATGACGATGTAATTCTCTCAGAAAGTATACCGTGATTTACATATCTATTTTCCTAACTTAGACATATACACAATCTTGTGGATTTTCAGTATTATTAGTAACAACTGAAAACAAATCTTTCTGTGTGCTCATTATTTCTTTAAGTTCCCAAAACGTAAGAACTGAATCAAGCCTGGGACACATTTCCATATCCAATGTTGAAAGCTCCACTAAATTTTTATCACCCCTTCAATCCACACACCTTCCCACCACTTACACCTTCTTGCAACTTCTTTGGATTCAAAGCAAAAGTTCACAGGAACTTACAACTGTATGAAAGTACCCTTTTTTTGGATAAACAGTGGGGGAGGGGGGCATACTTGCTGGTGCTTGGGTCTAACTCCTGGCTGGCTCGGTACTCAGGGCTCACTCTGGCAGGGTTCAGGGGGACCCTATGAGATACCAGGGATAAAATTCGGGTCAGCCGCGTGTAAGCCAAGGCCCTTCTTGCTGCACTATTGCCCCAGCCCCTGAAAGCAACTTTGAAAGAGAGATGGCTCAAAAGGTTGGAGCAAATGCATTGCAGGATTCCCAGAGCTGGAAGTAGTAGTCCCTCCTAGCTATCCAGAACCAAAAATTACATTAAAAAAAAAAAGAAGAAGAAAAGAGGGCCAAGAGATGAATACAGAGATGGTAGAATGCAACTGCCTTGCATGAAGCTAGCTGGGGTTCAATTCCTGCCAAACGCTTAAATTCGTGAGCCTGGCTAGGAATAGGCGCCTTAGAGAAAAACTAGGAGTAAGTCCTGAGCACAGACAAGTTGGTCCAAAACAAACAAAATATGATAAATATAAGCAAAAAGAACCTCTACCCATTAGTTTATCCAACCCCCAAATGCCATCGGAAACAAGTCACTACAGAAAAAGTAACTTCAAACACTCATGTTATATGCTAGCATCTCATAGCACCATTTTGGTATGCTCAGTACATTTCCATCCAAAGCGCGGTCACCAAAACCTACTCATCAACTGAAACAGACTCTCTTAGCTTTGTTTTGGTTTCAAATATAACAGAAACACAAACTTTTATGGTAAGTTCATAAAACCATTTTGCTCTTCCCGCCCCCCCTCCTGTGTCATAACACTGATTAATGCTCAATAAAAAACGTGGGGTTGTCCAATCAAAAACTCACAGTTATCGCCTCCCTATGAGAATTTGAACTATTTTCATCACCCCAATATGTGAGCAATTGCTAAGCCCTGACAAGAAGGCCAAGGAAAGATCCCTTTTAACTTCTGGCTTTCTGGAGAGAGAGAGAGAGAGAGAGAGAGAGAGAGAGAGAGAGAGAGAGAGAGAGAGAGAGAGAGAGAACAGCAGGTAAGGCACTCGCTTCGCACGCAACTGACCTGGTATGTTTCTTGGTACCCCAGATAGAAACGGAGCCAGGAGTGATCACTGAATGCTGAATGCCAAGCTGGGAGAAAGCCCCCTCCCCGCAAATTTTTTTTATTTCAGGCTATGATACCTGCCAAGTATCTTTTTTGAGTAAAACTCATCAACTGCTTACTTTTCAAGTATGCTAGAGGACCAGAGCATATATTGCCTACTGAGGTTCATCCCAGCACTAAGTAACGTCCCTCAGCCCCAGGAGTAAGCCAAGTGTGACCCCAAAATAGAAACAAAGTATCCCTAATTTTTAAAGAACAATTTCATTTACCCTGGTATTTCAGTATAAGAGGCCTTTTAGAAAATTATTAGTCATCAAACTGTACCCCATGAATTTGTCATCAAAGCACCCCATGAATCAAGAAAAAAGCTTAAACCAAATTACCTGACTTCCATTTCAAAAACTTTAAGAAATTTCAAAAAATGACTACAAGATAATAATTGCCATATAGAAAAATTTAATGGATAGATATTTCACAATTCGATAATTTTAGCAAGTCTGGTTGAGTGCAAACTGCCAAAGGTGTTTTGAAACTCTTTTTCAAAATTAAGAGGCAAATTCCAGGAGCTCTACTCATTGTAAAAATGCAGTATGAAAAGTATCTAAGGACCAATAAATGTGTGTGTGTGTGTATACATGTAGGTGTATTCATAAGGTTTATGTATACATATATATGTACAGACTTATAAATCTCAGATGCCAGTAAGATTGTAACCACAATTTCTTTATCAGAACAACTTGCATAAGAACATTTGCTAGAGGCCAGGAAGTCAGACAGGTTATCTCTCTTACACAGGTGGCTTAGTTTAATCTTGAATTTTTTCCCTCTAAATATTAAATATAATCAATAGACGAAGTACAGGTCCTGTTCAAATTCTCAGAAACACAGAATCCTAAAAGACTGCAAAAATTCTTCTAAGTCTTAGACTATTTGTTCTAAACAACGGAACCAAGTGACCATCTCTATTTCAGGGTAAGCTTCAGAAACTCTCAACAGAACTACAATGTACTGCAAGATACTCATTTGAAAAAAATAATAAGAAAAAGAAAACTGAAAGTGGGGGAGGAAATCTAAATTATCCTGAATAAAGACCTATGAATTCAATAATTTTCTCTTAGAATTGATTGGATGCCTCCTAGTCAGTTCCAAGGCACCAGAAATTACAATCAAACATATTTTCCTCTTTTGTCATTATGTGCATAAACTTACGTGTCTGTGTGTGTGTTCTGTTTACTGGAAATCTCAGCCAAAGCATTTAAATACGCTTGAGAACAAATTGCAGATCTCTGGGTGGGCAGGGAGAGAATCCAGAGTGATGGTTTTGTGTAATGCGCATTAATCGGACTCACCAAATCCCGTTTTTACTTCACGTGTGGCTTACAGGGTTAGAAAGTGTGACTGCGGGGCGGGAAAGACAGGACACTGGGTTAGGTGCTTGCCCTGCCTGCTTTGCGAGCTGCTGACTCCAGGACCCCATCCCAGGCAGCCCACATGGTTTCCAGAGCCCGCCAGAAATGACCTCCGAGGGCAGAGCCAGGAGGAAACCCTGACTGAGCTCCCCCGACTGGGACCCAAAAACAAAACCAAAAAGTTTGACTCTCCCACACTTCTCCCAAAATCAGAAATCCAAAATACCACGAGGACAAAATTCCCTGAAGCTTTCCGGTCAACTTGCTTTCTTTTCCTACATTTTAAACACAGGCCCTTCAGGGTGTCTGCTGAGTACCTTCCTCTCCCAGGACTCAAGTTCTGCAAGCTTCCCACTTGCCTCTTTATTTTTGAAAAGGGGTTTGCAAAACCTACCGAAACTTCTTAGAGTCACATACCATTCCAATCTGAAAAGGAACATTGTCGGGACAACAGGAGAGGCAAGAGGCAGTAGTGGCCTGAGACTTACGCTGTACACAAAACCTCAAACAATAAGGCAAGTGTCCAGGAACAAGGCAGACAACAGGTCAGACCGGGAGGCAGGGCACCGGAGACGGAAAACTGGGATTCTAATTTGAGTTAGGTTTTAGATTGGGGACACTGAAATTTCTTCTTCTACAAAAGCAAAGCGTAAGTCATTAAAAGAGGATCTTTAATTTCCTAGATTAGCTTTTCCCACTACAAGTTCTCTCAATTGCTTAAGTGAAGAAAGATGGTTTCATACGGTAAAATTTTTAACCTTAGAAGTAAAGAGGTTGCCGATGTAAGACTTCGGAAGCAATTATTTTTTTTTTTTTGATGTGTTAGGTGCGCTAGTTAAACACAGCCAGTTCTTAAAAAGCAAACTTGTCACTTGTAAATTTTTATTTCAGTGCTAAGAAAAACTGCAAGGCAGTCGGCCAGTTTCAAGGAAAAAGTGGATCTTGCCATTCAAACTTCCAACTCTCTGAAAGTGTTACTAAGAATCCCTTCACTGGCTCAGAAACAAGCATATAAACACTTTCCAAACTAGCTTGTATTGAAACAGGCGATCTCCCCGGTAAGAAAACAATTTCAGTTTACTGCAATCTTTGTGACCGTACCCTTCCTGCAGGAGCAGGTCAAACCACAACGATTCCAAGAGTAAAATCTTGTCATTGTTTCGCATTGTTTTTAAAGTCCTTACTTTGCGCTTTGCAAATGGGTCCCATTTCCCAAGCGAACAATGTCCTGGGGGCTGATGTGTGTTAATTACATCTCCCACAATCCGAATATCAGTCTGCACACAGCACCGTAAAACAATCAGCATCCTCTCGCTTTAGAAATCGGTTTACCGTCTGTGTTCATGCCTGCTATTTATTCCAGGAGACACGAGCCACGCGTAAAGGTCCTATCCAGACGCGTAATTTTCTTACACCTCCACCCTCTCCAAACTTTTCCTAATAAATAGCAAAGCTCTGATCAGCGAGGCGCGGGTCTGACAAAGCAGGCGGATAGAACGACTTCCCTGGGCTCCATCCCATGCACCTGAAGGAAGGGGACCCACCTCGGGGGACACCACCAACGCCCTGACTACCACATTCCAAAACGTCGGTTCGGGGGGCTTTCTCCTCCGGGTGCTCATCGGATTGTTTCTACCCGGGGAACGCTCGGCAGCCGCAGCGTGTCCTCGTCCTTGCGGAGGCGCCGAGCAAAACTCCCGCTCGCTCGGGAGTCGAAGCGCTGCTACGGGCAGCCCCGTGGACCCTTGGGTGAATTTCAGCGCTGAACACCCCGACGCCGAGCGCAGAGCCGGCAGGGCCCCGCATCCGCCAGGACCCGACCACCCCAGGTCCGGGGTCTTTGACTCATCGGCGAGGAATGCGGCCGGTGGGTTATCTATTAATCCGGAATGCCTGAGCTGCAACGAGGTTTCCCCAAGAACTTTTACCGCGGGAGGGGGCGGGGGCGCAGAAGGTGCCTCTCGACCGGGACTTTCCCCCCGGAGCCGCACCGACGCCCCCCGCGACCCCCGCCGCGGACACAGAAACTTCTCCAGCGCCACACTCCCCCTCCCCAGGAAGCCGGCCGCCGCGGGGCCCGGGCCGGCGGGCAGGGACAAAGCTGGGCCGGCAGGTCCCGCGCCCGCTCACCTCCTCCTCCTGCAGGCTGGCCTCGCTCGGCGTGCTCTCCTTCTCGGCTTTGCCGCCGTTGTTCATCTTCCCGGGGCGGCGGTGGGCGCGCTCGCCCGTCTCCTCCTCCCTTCCCCGGGCGCCGCGAGGCTGGAGCCGGGGCCGGGGGTCCCGCGCGGGGGCGAGGGGCGAGCGCCGAGCGCGGCGGGCGGGCGGGCGGGCAGGAAGCGAGGATGGGGCGGACGAGCGCGTCCCGGGACGGCGCGGCGAGTGCTCGGGAGCGGCGGCAGGGAGGGGGCGAGGTGGCCGGAGGAGGAGGAGGGGGAGGAGGAGGAGGAGGAGGCGGAGGGAGAGGAGGAGGAGGGAGAGGAGGAGGAGGAGGAGGAGGAGGAGGAGCGGCGCGCGGGCAGCGCAGGACGCGGGGCCGGGAGCCGCTAAGTGCGCACCCGGGCCGGCTCGGGCCACCTTTGCCGCCGGCCGCCCGGCGCCCTCCCCTCCCCTCCCCTCTCCCCCTCCCTCGCGCCCGCCCCCGGCCTCCGCCCTCCCTGGACGCGCGCTGGCGGGCGCAGGGGCTGGGCGGAAGCGGCCGACCCCGGCCCGGGAGGGGAGGGCAGGGGAGGGGACGCGGGGACCCGGGAGGCGCGCCGGGGACCCGGGCTGGTGCGGCGTTTCTGCGCGCGCGCTTTGCACCCGCGGGCGAGCCCTCTGCAACGCCCCGGGACTGGCACGGCCGCCGGAGCCCTGCGAGGAAGGACCCGACAGTCCTTCCTCGACTGACTTTCTTCCCAAGCCCCGGGACGCGCTGCCCCGAGCCCCGAACCCCGCCACCCGCGCCGGCGCCCCGTCCTCCGACGCGGCCCCCCGCGCCCGCCCCGGCTCAGACTTCTCGGGGGCCCTTCTCGGACTGTGGAGTTAGTCGGGTGTGTTTGCCGGGCTGCGTCTCCCTGAGCCTTCCGGGAAAGATCTCCTGTTTCTCTCTCATTTCCGCGGCCCTTCAAACACCCTATTTCATGCGTGGTAGGCGCTCGGTGAGGATTTGTTGGCTAAGGGGATCATCGCCCTCCCCGCTATCGGCGCTGGCGGCCTGCACTGGGACCTTGGGGAAAGTCAAAGAACTGTTAAAAGTGGGGAGGGTGAACTCAAGGGTTTTGATGTTTGGGGGATGTTTGGATCACACCTGGCTCTGCGCCTATGGGAGGGTGGGGATGGAACCCGGCCTGACCAAGCGAAGCGCAAGGCAAGCGCTCTTCTGTCGCTCCAACCCCTCAAGGGTTGTTTTGCATGCGGGAAGCCCTGGGTTCAATTCTTGACACTGCATGATATCCTGAGCATCCCAGAGCACAGAACTAGGAGTCCCCTCTGACCACCGCCAGCTGTGGCAAAACACACACACACTTATAAGGAAAAAAGTGCTTGACAATTTGGACATGTGTACCAGCCCAGCATTCTGCACCACCCTGAGTGTTTATGCGAAATGAGCATTCGTGGGGGATTTTTGGAGAAATGAGAGCTCTTGGCCAGGGAAGGGGGTGGTTTGGGAGCCACGCCTGACTGCTCAGGGCTTAGTCTAGGCTCTGAGCTCAAGGATCACTCCTGGCGGGGCTGGGGGAGGGACATATGCAGTGCCTGGGTCAGGGATCAAATCCGAGTTAACTGTGTGCAAGGCATGCCCCCTACCAAAGTCTGGCCCAAAAGGGGCGTTCTAATAGTCATCTCCCAGAGTGTTTCAGTTAAAGGATATTAGAGGTTGCTAGATCTATACTCCTGGCATTGCTTCAAGCTCACTTTAACTTTACCGGCCATGGACAGGCGGATTCCTGGGCCATGAAGAAGTTTTCCAATACTGGATCATTAGAACTTTCAAGGGTTACTGTTGCAAAATCGTGGACGTTAAATTCCCTAGATCAGTAGGCTCTTACTCCTGTGCCTATCCCAGGAATCTTTCCCCGGCCGTTCCTTTCCTGCACCAGTCACTTCTAATTACTTATTTGCTTTCTGTACTGTTTCTCTTTCCTCCCACATCACTAGACATTCCCTGTAGTGGTTTAAGTACTGTTGGGAATGAGGTGTGGGTGGCGATGGAGTTGAAGATAGGGCCCCTGCTTTTAGGGAGTTAAAGTTGCGTGGATACAAGATACTGAAAACCAAAAAGAGCTCCACTGCGTCTCATCTTAGATGCTGGCTAACAGGGTACCTGAGTCAAGAGAGTAAAGCTGGGAGGGGCTTGCTTTTGTGCCCCTAACCCGGGTTTAATCCTCAGCACCTATGTGTGGGCTCTGAGCACCACCAGGAATAATCCCTGAGCATTGCTAAATGTGGCCCAAAAACCAAAACAATTCTATTTTCTTTTATGAATAAAGGTTTGTTTTAAGAGCATTGCAAATGAAAGTGAGAAAGAAAGAAAGAAAGAAAGAAAGGAAGAAAGAAAGGAAGAAAGAGAGAGAGAAAAAGAAAGAAAGAAAGAAAGAAAGAAGGAAGCAAAGAGATAGTACAGTGCGTAGGGCATGTGGCTGACTCAGGTCTATCCCTGGCATCCCATCTGGTCCCCTGAGCACCGCCAGGAGTGATTCCTGAGTGCGGAGCCAGAGTAACCCCTGAGCATTGCAGGGTGTGACTCAAAAGTGAAAACAAAAGAGTATTGCAAATTTAAAGACAAGACGGTGCTGATTGTAGATTATAGGGATGGGGAAGCTAAAAAGAATCGCCCCTCCCCCCCTTTGGGGCCACACCCATCAGTACTCAAGGTTTATTCCTGGCTCTGCATTCTGGGATCACTCCTGAGAGGACTCAGAGGACTAAAGGGTGCTGGGACTTGAATCTGGGTTGGCCGGATGCAAGGCAAGTGCCCTACCCACAGTACTATTGCTCTGGTCCCAAGGGCTAATGATTTGTATAAAGTTTTCATTATTGTCATGATGTCACTTCTCTCTGCAGTGGAAAAAAGTGTTTCCTGGATGAAAATAAATAAGAGTCTATTGAAATTATTGTTAAAGCTCAGAGGAAGCAAAGGGCTGGCTACAATTAATCTGGAAACTTGGACAACCCTCCCAACTTCCAGTTCCTCCCTGACTTACGTAGGGAGCCAGGAGGGGGCAATGTCTTCCTGAGCAAGGACTGAGGGGTGGTCTTGGGCCCCTGTTCTGGCCAATAATGCCAACCCTTTGCCCTTTTTGCTCATTCTTGCCAGTTACAGAACAAGCTCAGCGGGAAGGCATTTTCTTGCTGGAACCTGGCAGAAACCCAAGGACATTGACAGGGATCTAGTCATTGATAGTCAGACTTCCCCTCCCCCACTGCCCCCATGGGAATGAATAGGTAGAATCTTGTGGTTCCTGGAGGTTGAGGGACCCTACCCTACCTTTACCTAGGGACAAATGGCATCATCCCAAACATCAAACCTGATTCTTTAAGCCAAGGAGACACTCTGTCTATTGTTAAAAGTCAGAAACGTTCAGACCAAAAATAAAAGTAAGTTCCATGAAAAGTTTCCTTGTCCGGCATCTTCATCGCTAAGTTCAACATCAGGAGCCTAATACATAGTCAGTCCCACTGATTATTTTTGAACCATGAACGTTACCAGGTAACCAATTGGGCTACCCGTGGTTCATGGCCCCAATCTTTCATGTTATTATTGGGAGGGGGCCACGTGCAGGTGCTCAGGGATCATTCCTGGTGTATTCCAGGACTATATATAGTGCCAGGGACCAAATGGAAATGATCTAACCCTTTTATGTCTTTATTTTTCAGGAGGTACAAGTTTAGGTAGACAACTTGTCTAAGAAAGGAAAACTGAAGAGATTGTGAAAAAAATTTTCACATTGATGATGCCTGCTCCTACCACCTAGCACTGTTCACACTTGGATGTGGCATAATTAGGACAAATTGTAGCACTCAGTGTGTTAAGTCCCACCATTTGGGGCCAGAGAAAGAGCTCAATGGGCTAAGTGCATGTTTCCAGGCAGGAGGCCCGGGTTTGGTACCAGGTCACCTACCTGTTCCCCCAAGCACAACAGGGAGAAATACCAGAATTAAAAGAAAAAAAAACTTTAATAAATCACAGGGACCCAAGATTACCACCTCAGCTCGAGCGGGCCCAGCAACGTCTCCATTTTGAGACTTGTTGTTACTGTGTTTGGCATATTGAATATACTCTCGATAGCTTGCCGGGCTCTCCGAGAGGGGTGGAGGAATTGAAAGCAAAGAGGCCTGGAATCAAGTTCAAGGTAAATGTGCAGTTCAGGGTGTTTTCAAAATGTCGACAGAGATGGGGTTTTAGGCAGGAGAAAGAGGGACTCCTGTTTTCTGTCTTTTCCATGGAAAATAATTAAGGCTTATTTGAGGGCCAGACAGATGGTACAGTGGGTCGGTGCTTATCGTGCTCACAGCAGGCCAAGGTTTGCTCCCTGGCATCATATACAGCCCTCTGAGCACTGTCAGGGGTGATCCCTGATCATAAACCAAAAGTAAGCCCTGAGCACCACCAGGTGTGACTCCCTGCAGAAAGTCTTTTTTTTTTATTTTGTTTTATTAGTGAAACCCCGTGGGGTACAGTTGTAGACTAACAAACTTTCATGCTTGGGTTTCAGTTATACAATGATCGAGTACCCGTCCCTCCACCAGAGCCCATTCTCCACCACCAATGATCCAAGTAGCCCTCCCACCCCCCCACCCCCACCTCTGTAGCAGGGCGTTCCCTTTTGCTCTCTCTTTCCTTCAGGGTCTTGTAATTTGCAATAGAGGTATTGAGTAGCCATCATGTTCGGTCTATAGTCTATTTTCAAACGCATCTCGCATCCTGAGCGAGTCCTCCAAACATCCTTTACTTGGTGTTCCCTTCTCTATCTGAGCTGCCTTTTCCCCCAGCAGGTGCTGCCAGCTTCCAAGCTGTGAAGCAGACCTCCTGGTTTTTATCTCAACTATTCTTGGGTGTTCGTCTCCCATTCTGTTACTTTATATTCCCCAAATGAGTGCAGTCTTTCTACGTCTGTCCCTCTCTTTCTTGCTCATTTCACTTAGCACAATACTTTCCATGTAGAACCACTTGTATGTAAATTTCATGTCTTCATCTTAACTAACAGCTGCATAGTATTCCATTGTGTAGATGTACCAAAGATTCTTTCACCAGTCGTCTGTTCTCGGGCACTCGTGTTTTTTTTTCCCCAAATTTTGGCTATTGTGAACAGTGCAGCAATGAACATAGAAGTGCAGATGTCATTTCAACTGTACTTTTTTGCCTCTCCAGGGTATATTTCCAGGAGTGGTATTGCTGGGTCAAATGGGAGCTCAATTTCTAATTTTTTGAGAATCGTCCATACTATTTTCCAAAAGGGCTGAACCAGTCGAAATTCCCACCA